TGGGCTTAGCATCAGGAAGACTCATCTTCCTGAGTTCAAATCTGGACTCAGACATTTACTAGGTGTGGGACCCTGGGCAAGTCACATCACCCTGTTTCACTCAGTTTCCTCATCTGTAAAATGAGCTGGAGAAGGAAACAGCAAACCACTCCAGTACCTTTGCCAAGAAAACTTCAAATAGGGTCACAGAGAGTTGAACATGACTGAAAAACAACTTAAAACCAACAAAAATGAGAAAAATAACACTTGCACTACTATACTCGAGCGTGTACATGATTCAGTGCTTGGCACCAAATCTGGTCTGGCACACAATGCTAATAAATGCTAGTTGACTGACTATATGATCAACAAATTCAAAATGGACCTCTTTATCTTTCTTCCCTCTTCCTAATTTCCCTATTTCCGTCAAAGACACCACATCCTTTCAGTCACTCGGGTTCCCAATCTTGGAGTCACCGGCGCCTTCCTTTTCCTTCCATGCCCTGTACCCATCCAATCAATCGCTCAAATTCTGTTGATTCTACCATCAGGGAACCTTGTGCCCTTTCATTTGTCTGTACATAATTGGCCACACTACACCTTGCCTTAACTCCTGCAATAGTTATCTAATTAGTCCTCCTGCCTCCAATCCAGCCTCCAAACAGCGGCCAGGCAGGTATTTTTAAAGAACAGTTCTGACCAGGTCATTCCCCAGCTCAGGAAGTTGGTGTGGCTCCCCATTGCCCCAAGGAGTTAGGAGTTTTAGGAGCCATGACCCAGGGCCGTGTCAGTCTGTCACCTGCAGGAAGAAGCAGAGAATAAAAATAGACAACATGGAAGAGCGAGTTTTGGAGAGATGAGTTGGGTTCAATGGTTAACTCCTCCAATGAGCCCTCTGTCTGGTTCTCTGGTCCTTTACTGGCCTATTCACATTCATAAGACGATTTTCCTGCTTGTTTCAGCCTTGGAGATTTTGAAATCTGAAAAAACCTGATGCTGCCCTGGCCCAGGCACTTCTTCTGTCCTCTGTCATTGGGCCACGAAGACAGAGGCCCCCGTCAGGAGCTGGAAGATGATGCTTCCTCCTATTCTGCCACTCCCTCTTGAAGAATCTTCTGTGGCTCCCCACTGCCCCTAGGATAAGATGCAGACTCCCCGGCTTGGCCTTTAAAGCCCTTCACCACTTGACTCCCATTTACCCTTCTGGCCTTATTTCATGACGTAGTGAAGCAGCATCTACTCACTACCCCAGTCACTCTGGGTCGCTAGCTGCGCCCAACACACGACGTTTCATTTCTCGCCTCTGTGAAGGACATGGCGCCTCCTCACTTCCACCTCTTAGACCAGTTGGCTTCTTCAAGAGACATCTCTGGTGCTGCCTCCTACAGGAGGTCTTTCCCTGATCCCTCCCTGCCCCAAGTGAGGGCTTGAAATCACTTTGAATGACTTTGTATCTACTTAGCTCTAGGCATGTTGCAAGCTCCGAGGAGAATGTAAGCTCCTTGAAGGCAGGGACTATTTTGGCATTGGTTTTCTGTATCCCCAGTGCCTGCCTGGTACATAATGGTATTGTCATTCAGTCATTTCAGTTGTGCCCGACTCTTCACGACCCCGTTTGGGGTTTTCTTGGCAAAGATCCTAGAGCAGTTTGCTGTTTCCTTCTCAAGATCATTTTACAGATGAAGAAACTGAGGCAAACAGGGTGAAGTGACTTGCCCAGGGTCACACAGCTGGTAAACGTCCGACGCTGGATTTGAACTTAGGTCTTCCTGACTCCAGGACCACCTGCCTCCAAATAGGCCCTGAATCGCTGTGTATTGAATGGAATTGACTCCATAGAGATGACAGAAAGCCTTCCTGGCCTACTCCAGTGGCTAGAGAGATTTCTCCCCCTTTTAATGATCTGGCAGTGCAGTGAATTGTTAGATTTAGAGTCAGAAATCCCAGCTAATAATAATAGTTAGCACTTCCATAGCACTTTAAAGCTTGCAAAGCACTTTACAAATATTACCTCATTTTACTCTCACGACAATCTCGAGACGTAGGTGCCACTATCATCTCGATTTTATAAATGAGGAAACTGAGGCATACTCTTTCCCCATAGGTGGTGATTGCCTAGCTTTGTTTAATTACTGGCATGTGTAATAAGGAGAGGATTGGATTTGGGGTCAGGGAAATCTGGGTTAAAATCCCACCTGTGGCACTATATAGGACCCTGAGCAAATCACTTAACCTCTGCTTCAGTTTCCTTATCTGCAAAATGGGGATAAATAATAGTACTGCCTCTCGGGGTTGCTGTGAGGATCAAATTAGACATTTGTAAGGCATTTTGCCAACCTTAAGGTACTATAGAAATGGTAGCTATTAGCTCTCTAAGCCTCAGTTTCCTCATTTGTAAAATCATGATATTAGTACTTGTGTCCTCATAGTTAATATGAACATTGAATGATATAATATACATAAAGAATTTTACAAAGCTCAAAGTGCTGTATAAATGTGAGCTATTAATAGTTGACATTTACAATAATTAAATAAATTGATACAAATATATAAGAATTAGAACCTTTCCCAAGGAGATAAGTGGTTAAAGGGTAGGGAACAGGCAGTTTTCAAAGGAAGAAATCCATGCTATCAATAATCATATGGGAAAAATGCTATAAATCATTAATAACCAGAGCTCTTCTCTAATTATTCATTAAAACAACACCAAAGTTTCACTTCACATACCCATGAGATAGGCAAAGATGACGAAAAGAGGAAATGGAAACTGCCAGGAGGGACTGTGAGTGGAAGACAAGCACACTTATACATTGTTGGTAGAGCTGTGAATTGGTTCAGCTATTCTGAAAAACAATTTGGAACTATAGCCAAAAAGTCACTCAACTATCCATATTCTTTTCCCAAAGATAGAGGGAAAGGACCTATTCACGGAATTTTACAGCAGCCCTTTTTACTATAGCAAAGAACTGGAAACAAAGCCAGTGCCCATCAGTTGGGGAATGGCCAAACACATCATGGTACAACAGATGTAAAGGAATGTTATTGTGCTGTGAGAAATTAGGAATATGATAACTGGGAGAAACCTTGTATGAAAGAATATAGAGTGAAATGAGTAGAATCAGGGAACAATTTACAGGATCACCACAATGCAAATACTACAAAATTACCAAAAATACAACTTTGAAAGACTATGCAGCTTTGAGCAAGGCAGTGATTCATCATGGCTTCAGAAGACTGAGGATGAAACACTCTACCCACATATTAGAAGAAAAGTGATGGACTAAAGGTGAAGAATGAGACATGCATTTTCAAATCTGATGGCCAAAAGCTTTGTCATTTGCTTTGCATGACTCTAGTCATTTGTTATAATGGAGGGCAGCTAAGTAGCACAGTGCCCAGAATACTGAACTTGGAATCAGGAAGAACTGAATTTGAATCCTGCCTCAGACACTAGCTGTGTGACCCTGGGCCAGTCACTTAACTTTTCTAGGCCTTAGTTTCCTCATCTGTAAAATGGAGATAATAATAGCACCGACTTCCAGAACTATTATGAGGATAAAATGAGGTAACATATGTAAAGGGCTATTTAATAAATATTTATTATCTATTTATATTAATTATTACATTATTTGATAAATAATGTAAATAGTAGCTATTATTTTATTTGGATAGCGATACGAGTTAGCGGGATATGAAAAGATGCAAAAAGATTAAAAGAACATCAATAAGATATTTAAAAATACACAAAAGAAAACAAGAAGATTCTGAAGGGGACACAAGCGAAACCATTTTGTTACCACTGTGTTAAATTTAATACATACTTAAACCCTATGTGACCAAAGTTTATAGTTTCATATACAATTCTCTTATTTTGCTTTTCTGAAATGCTTCTGTTGATTAATGATGGTTAAGTTCGTTTAATATTGTTTTAGGTGGGATATAACATGGGCAGCATTAGTTGCTGATGGCCAAGTCCTTCAATACTAGTATCATGCCATAAGATATCCCATGCTTGCATTCCCCAGGTGCCCTAAGCCCTTAGACTAGGGTGGAACTCACAGCATAAATTCCAAGAGTGGGTCCATCTGTAATCCATATGGACCATGGGCTGCTATTATTTACTCGCTCCACACTCATGTGTCATGTTAGATGTTCATCACTGAGCAATCTTTCTAGGTGATAGGGGCTTGAGCTCAATCACCAGAGCTCAGATATATGACTCAGTCCAATTTCTAAGGCATCATGGTTCAGATTCCTTCTTAGGTATACCTTGTATCCTGGCTCTAAATTAACAAATGACTATATACAGACACCAGGAGGAAACAGAGGCATGCCACGTGAGCATATGACTGTATTCCCAAGGTGATCAGCAGCCAGGGCCATCTTGAACAAATAGAAAATAATGGAAAGACCATTTAAACCACCACAATGGCTGCTGTAAGTTTCTTGAAACCATACCAACTATTTATTCCAACACTGTTCCATATACTTCACTTACTCTCACAAAAGAAGAACTAGTTTGACAAATGTACTCTAGTACTTCATGCATAACACATCTAATTTAAAGACCTATTCTTCTGTGATTTGGGTACACACACAGCTTTTGAAACTCACCTTTGATCCACAGCCCCAGCTGTGTTCCTTCACCCCAACTTCCAATATCATAAGAGTCACAATTCACAGCCTCTACAGCTTTGGGAGAGTATGTGAAGTCATCATTTACCCAATGAGATTTGGTGCCTCCAACTCTACTCAGAAGAGTTAGGCCTTTATCAGCCTCCATCTGAACCTCCAGCTTTCAAGAACTGGAGATGCCACTCCAAAATTCCAACTCAGATTGGTGCGGCAACTTGGTATATATGCTAAGAGGTCACCAGCCTTTCTATAAGTAAAGGAGCGTCAGTCTCTTTTTTCTTCCTATGTGCGTCCTGCTGTGCCAGTAAAGAAGAGAGCCCCTTTCTGGATTGTTTTGTGGGAGGCTTTGGTTATCATCCATTTGCATTCAGCTGAATAAGACTCACCTTTCTCCTGAGCCATCTCTTGCAAACAGAAGTAAATGACTCTCGCTCCCAGGCTGAAGCCAATCAAAGTGACAGGTCGTCTACCCTTAGAAGGAACAGAAGAAGATCATGGGTTAGAATATATTCAAAGAATGTTGGATCTGATAGAGAGTTTAGAATATAGACTTTTGAATTTTGAAGAGATGTTAGAACATGGAAATCATAGTTAGAAGGAACCACTTAGAACACAGAATTCTGGATATGGCAGATGCTTCAGAATGTAGAATGTGGAAGCCGGACTAAAGACATTCAATGGGGAGCACCTCATCACTTCTCCAGGAAGGCCATTCCACTTTTGGACTGCTCTAATTGGTATGAAGTTTTCCCTAACATACCTACATTTTTGTAACTTCTACCCACTGCTACTGGTTTTGCTGTCTGGGATGAAAGAGAACAAATCTACTCCTTTTCTATGACAGCCCTTCAAAGTTTTGAAGACAGTTACCCCATCCCCCACTAAGTCTCCTCTGTGCCAGACTAAATGTCCCAGACTAAATTTAGTCTCCAGACTAAATTTCTTTGATGGATTGTGTTTTTCTGAATACTCTCCAGTTTATGAATGTCTTTCTTAAATTACTTCCCTATTCTGGAAATTATGCTGCTCTTAATGTGGTCCAAACATTTCTAGCTACTATAATACACTGTTGACTCACATTGAACTTGTGTGTACAGTTGTTTTTCAGTTGTAACCCCATTTGGGGTTTTCTTGGCAAAGATACTGACATGGTTTGCCATTTCCTTCTCCAACTCATTTTACAGATGAGGAAACTTAGGCAAACGGGATTAAGTGACTTGCCTAGGGTCACATAGCCAATAAGTGTCTGAGGCCAGATTTGAACTCAGGAAGAAGATCCAGACTCCAGGGCCAGCGCTCTATCTACAGCACCACCGAAATTACAGACCATTAAAATCTTCAAGGATTTTCTGGCAAAGCACTTGTTCCTGTACTTCTAAAGTTGATTTTCTGAACCCAAGTAGAAGATTTTACACTTATCTCTACTGAATTTCATCTTATTAGATTCGGCCCAGTGCCGTCCTGTGTTAAGGGTTTTTTTTAATATTCATTCTATCTTCCTTTGTGTTAACTATACCTTCCACCTTTAAATTTGATGAGCCTTTATCTGAGTCATTGATAAAAATGTTGGCTAACTTTCCACCAAGCACAGACCCTGAGGCTCTCCACTGATGACCTCCTCTACCAAGCCTACGATGAACCAGTAACAATTAACTACTTTTGAGTTTGACCATTTAACCAGTTCTGAACTGATACTTTATCAAATCCTTTGTTAAACCTAGGTTATCCATATCTACATTATTTCTCCCATCTACCAGTTTAGTAACACTGTTAAAAAAAGAAATGAAGTTAGCATAGCATGATTTGTTCTTCATGAAGTCATGTTGGCTCTTTGTAATCACTGTTTCCCTTTCTGGATGCTCACTAACCATCTTTTTCATGATCCAGTCTAGAATTTCCCCAGCAATCAAAGCCAGCTCACTAGCCTGTAGTTTGCAGATTTTTCTTCCTTCTTTTTATTTTTTTGGAACATTAGGATATTTGTCTTTCTCCAGTTCTGTGGTTCCTTTCTTTTTTTCCTTCATGGTTTTTAAAAAGAAGAATATAAAACTGTTTATTGACCATTGTTCACCAGTATTTACAATAAAGTAAGCAATATATAGTTGTATAACATTCCAATGACTAAAAATTATTTTTGCCTAAGTCCTATGGAACCAAGGGACCCAAATAATAAAAAGGCTGGTACTATGTATTTAAGGGATGGGTTGGGATAAAGAAAGAGAAACATTCATGTCATTAGTATAGAAGACTACAAAATACTGGTAAGTTGGCTTGCCTACTTATGCCCATAGAGATAAAAATGCAAGCCTGTCAAATATCTACTCTTATTGGAAGAATATTAAGATTCCAGCAGATGGGGATGTTGTTTGTTTTTTGCATCAGCAATACTTGTAGCTTTGAACAAGCAATTACAAGCTTTCTGCATTGACTTTATCACTGAAATAAGCACTTGATACTAAGGAACTATTAACTTCTCTACATTCAAGAAAAACTCCATGATTAAGGGACGCCTCTACTTTCCGAATCAGGAAGTCTAAGTTTTTCTCTTTGAAAATCAAGGCCAAAATGATTCTACTTTTAAGCTTTTTTTCCTTTTAAAGCAAGTTTTGGCAGCATTTACCCATGTTTCTAACCTAGGATTGAAAATTTTCAGACTGGACTCTCATCAAGTGAGAGCTTGGTCTCTGGGATAATGCAAACAAGCTAGCTAACATTTTTATACCCTTTTACAATGAATGGCAGTAATTGTTTTCCACCCTAACTCTGTCCGTCTGTATTACCATTGATAAGGATTTGGAGAGAAAATTTATTTTCCTTAGATCCCTCTTGTAGAAATCTGGAGTGATTTTCACACCCCTTTGGGTCCATAGGGAAGGGGCTCATCACCACCTTAACAGATGCAGGACATTCTTAGAACAGCTCTTCATTCATCTCTACTCCATCCAGCAGGGTTTAAAAATCTTTCTGGTCCGTTCCTAAGTGGTTAGTGTCTGGACTGCAGAGAGCGCAAATCTGATGGGCTGGCCATGTCGTTCAAATGCCAAATGTGTGCTTGCCTAAAAGACTATTTTATGGAAAACTCACCCAAGGGAAGCTCTCACATGGAGGTCAGAAGAAGCAATACAAGGAAACTCTCAAGGTCTCTCTGAAGAACTTTGGAATTGATTCTGAGACATGGGAAACACTGGCACAGGGTTATCCAGCATGGCGTACCCTCATCAAAGAAGGTGCTATGCTCTATGAGCAAAGCAGAATTGCAGTAGCTCAAAAGAAACGTGAGATGTGCAAAATTAGAGACATCTCCACCCCACGTGTTCATGTGGACTATTTGTGCTCAACCTGTGACAGATCCTTCTGAGCTCATGTTGGTCTGACCGGCCAAAGTTGGACACACCGTACCTTGACTCTGACATAGCGATGTCATTTTAGTGCTCCTCAAAAACAAAGGACAACAATCAGTGTTCGGACACTTGGAGACAAAAAAATTTCTGTGGTTTAGGAGGAACTGATTCCTAGACTCACCAGAACCAAGTAATAATAATCAGTTATAATAACAATAATAACAATAACAATAACAATAACGATAGCTAGCATTTATATAGCTCTTTAAGGTTTGCAAAGCACTTCACAAATACTATGTCATTTGATCCTCACAATAACCCTGGGAAATAGGTGGTATTATTATCCCCGTTGCATAGATGAGGAAATTGAGGCAGACAGAGGTGCAGTGACTTGCTGAGGTCACACAGCTAGGAAGTAGCTGAGGACAAATTTAAACCAAGGACTTCCAGACTCCAGGTCTAGGACTCCATCCAGTGTGCCACCTAGCTGTCCAAGTTGCCAGAAGCAATTTTAGGTAGAATTACCTCTAATCATAAAATGTAACTTCTATTAACAAGTTGGGTTTCAAGAGAATGTCAAAATTCTACCCAGACTGGCAATTCTCTTAGGTAAACTTGGGCATACATGGGTTAAACATTTATTTGTTAGGGTTCAGAATAGTGTGAATGGTATTAATAAATATTTGTAAAAGTTTTTCTTGAGTGTGGAGGAAGTTAATTGTTCCTTAGTATCAAATGCTCTTTTCTGGGATAAAGTCAATGCAGAAAACTTACAGTTGCTTGTTCAAAGCTACAGGTGTTGCCAATGCAGAAAAACAAAATTAAACTCCAAATCTCAAACCAATTCAAACAAAAGAAAAACTTAAAAAAATTCATTTCACTCAGCTCTTATAGAATGTAGGTGGTTCCTCACATGACCATTAAACCAAAGAATATAAATGAGATTCAGAGTTTATTAAATATATTTGAATATATACACATATATGTGTATATAAGCATATGTATAAAGGTATACCATTGTGCACATATATATATATATATATATATATATATATATATATATATATATAATTATAGGTACCTAACTACATGTATGTGAATGCATAAACATATATATATACACACACATGTGTCTGCATGTTTATGGTATATATGTATATGTATATTATGTCTACAAAAGCAATGGAAACTATTTTGCTTCAGCTTCTAGAGTACCAGGTCAGTTGGCTTTATAAAAAGCTATGCCTATCTGAGGACACTGCACATTTGATCCTTTTGCTAGCACTGAATTGACCCCATTGGAATCTTTCTACTTCATGAGAAAAGTCAATTCTTCCCTGCTGTCTGCAGCATCACTTCCTCCCTCTGGAATCTAGACCTGGATCTAGCTGTCGGGCCAAGCCTCTCGGTTCATCAGTGAACTTTTTTCCCCTTTGTTGACTGGCTATCATCCACTTCACTCTTAGATAACGATTTTCTATTCCTTCCGTCTTTTCCTCAACAGCCTTTTGGAAATCAAGAAGCTCTTCAATCTAGATCATGTCTATTTCCTCTGGATTTTCACATCTGGTTGGCATCTGTGGATCCTTTTATATTTTAAGAAATATTCTACTTTCCCATTCACTCCTCATCAGTCCTACCCTTTCTCCACCACAAACTCCTTGGGGGCTTCACACCCCTTAATGTTTTACTCTTGTTATTCCATTTCTTTCTCATCCTTTTGATGTCCATAATTATATGCATATATTATATATATGTGTATATTATAAACACACATATATCATATCTATGTATACATATACATATATATCTCTGTCATATGTGTGTATATGTTAATTCTCCCAAGAGCATGTAAACTCTTTGAGAAACACATGATTCTAGATTTAGAGTTAGCAGGGACCTTGGAAGCCATCAAAAAACTACCTCCCAGGGCTCTTTTGAACATAAAATGAGATATTATAATTATATATATGAGATAATGCTATCATATATAATATATAACATTATTATATATAATATATTATATAGCATATATGACATACATGATACATCATATATTATGATACATATTACATATATCAATCATATCTATCTAGGTATATCTATAGACATATATATCTACATATAGATAACATATAGATATTTCCCTATACATAGACATGTAAATCTACATATGGATAATATGAGATAACATAATAAAATGATCTTTGCAAGACTTGAAATGCTATCTCAGTGTTAGCTATTATGTAGTCCAACGTCCTCATTTCACTGATGAGGAAAGTGAGAGCCAAGAAAACCCACAACTCTAATTCCAAATCCAGCCCTCTTTCTACTGTACCCATATCACCACACAAACAAAGGCCTCTATTTTTGTCTTCATATTTTCACACCTAAAATACAAGGCTTTCTATCTATTAGGCATTTAGTAAATGCTTGTTGATTTAAATCTGAATTCAAATTTGTGGCTGCAGGGTGTGTGACTCTGAGTAAGTCACTTAACCTCTGCCTCAGTTTCCTTACCTGTAAAATAGGGATCATAATAGCACCCATCTCCCAGGGTTGTTGTGAGAATCAAATGAGATAATAATTGTAAATCATTTATCACAGTGCCTGGCACACAGTAGGTGTTTAATAAATGTTTGTTTCCCTCCTTCCTCCCTAGAGTGATGGAGGCTGGTTCCTTTCTAATATCAGTCTTTGTGTCCCCTCTTGCTACCCTGGGACAGCCTCATGCAAAAGGGCTGTGTCCACAGGCAAACCTTCCCTTTCCCCCTTCCTTACTGCTCTATCTATAAGCGACAGAACTAGTTTCAGTTCGTGGAAAGTTTGTGGCTACCTGTTGCCGGCTGAGCAGTACATGGGCCAGGTGTTTGCCAACCTCTGCGGACCGGCGAAGGCACACCCCCCAGGGGTTGTCGATGACATTGGCCACAGCGAGGAGGGAAGTTGGCCAAGTCAATGCTGTCAAGATACCTGGAAGAAATAGGGAAAACATCAGGGATGGGAAGCAATCCTTGGGGGAAAACGGTCAGCCTGTGAAGTTGATGGCACTACTCTAAGTCTGAACTGAGTTTTGCCCATTCAAAGACGGACACAGGGCATGACGGTGAATGCCTGTAAGCCCAGCTCCTGGGAAGTCTGAGACTAGCAGATCTCTTAGGCGCTGAAGTTCTGAGCTACAGTGGACTATGCAAATTGGGTGTCTGTATTAAGTTTGGCAATAATAAGGTGAGAGCCTAGGAATGGGGTGCTACCAGGTCGCCTAAGGAGAGGGGAACTGATCCTGGTCAGAAATGGAGCAGGTCAAAGCTCCTGTGACATCAGTGGTGGGATTGGGCCGGGGAGCTGCTACTGTGTACTACCCTGGGTGAGATGGGGAGATGCAGTCTTTAAAAAGAAAAGTCTGAATGATTAAAAGTCTTGGGTTTTATGTATGGAACAAATATGAATAGGAAAGGGCAAGTTAGGAAGGAAATAGTAGAAAAGGATTAGATAGGTCATAAAATCTTAGAGCTGGGAGGGCTCTTAGAACACAGTGTCAGAGCTGGGAGGACCCTTAGAACACAGACTGTCATATCTGGGTGAGGTCTCAGAAAACAGACTGTTAGAGTTGGGAGGGGCTTTAGAACACAGAATGTCAGAGGGGGGAGGGACTCTAGGACACGAGTTCTTAACCTTTCTTCACAGACCCTTTTCCATATTGTGTTTTAAAAATAAATTCATAATTGAAATAAATATTAAATTTGTTAGAAGTTAGTGAAAATAAATATGTAATTTGCCCCCATCCAAGTTCCGCTCTGGAATCTAAGATGGACCCCTGCGGGGCGTGAGGGTCTGTGACCCCTAGATTAAGAAATCTTGCCTTAGAATATAGATGTCAGAGCTGGAAGGGCTTAGAACACAGAACACCAAAGATGAAAGGTTCTTTAGAACAGCATTTCTTAAACTGTGGGTCTCGGCCCCTTATGGGGCTGCAAAAATTTGGCAGTAGTAAAATGTTTCTGAATGCGCGATGAGCAAAGATGAATTAAAAATCCAAGGAGTAATGAATGAGAGGTGTTTCTGGCAGTGCTTGTCGCTGTAGGTGCAGTAACTTCACTGCAGCCTTGGCTTTGAAACACAAAGCAGGCACACTTTGCACTCTGCATGCCCTCAGACCACACAACACCAACCAAAGCTGAAAAGAGTGCAAAAAGTTTGAGAAGCCCTCCTTTAGGACACCAGATGTCAGAGAAAGAAGCCAAAATCAAGGTCAGAAAAAACCTTAGAGTCTAACCTTTCACTTTTACTAATTGGGAAAAGAAGGCCCAGAGTAGTTCACTAACTCGTCCAAGGTCACACACATTGTAAGCAGCAGAGTCAGGTTGGGAATTCTAATCTCTTGGCTCCCTGCCTTCACTAGCTGCAATCTGGCTGGAGAGGTGAGCAAGGGCTGAAGTGCAGAGGGTCTTACCGGATAAGACTGTATATTTCAGGGCTTCTTGAGCCATCATGTTCACAAAGCCATTGAGCAGGGTCTCCAGGGCACTGCCAAGCTCCATCAGGTACTTAGATTCCCAGGCCAGGCAGTACTGCTCACTGCTCCGGGCCATGCTGGCCCAGGGAGTAGTGAACATTCCTAGGGGAAAACCACAGGGACAAACGGTTCACATGGGGAGTGGAGAAGGTCATTGCTGATCCAGAAACAGAAGCATAGGGGCCGGCAGAGGAGACCACAGAGCAACATAACCTGGAGAGGGGTCCATCACCCCCAGCCCAGGTCGGGCAGCTCCTGGAAACCCATGCTTACAACGCAGAATGAAGAGTCAGCAAACCTAGCTACTTGTCCTGGCTCTGCTACTCCAACAAGCATTTATTAAGCCCTTGGTCTCTTCCAGGCAGTGTGTGGGATCCTAAAACCAGGCAGTGCCTGCCCTCATAGAACTCACATTCTATTGGTGAGAATGGGGGTGGGGAGAACAACACTTACATAGGTAAGTAAATACAAAATATTTATAAAATCTAAAGAACAGAAAACAATTTCAGGAGGGGAGTACTAACCATGGGAGGAAAGCAGGTGACTTTTCTAAAGAGTTGGTCTGACCAGGTCACCTCCTTACTTAATGAGCTACAATGGCTCCCTATTATCTCCACGATCAAATAGAAAATCCTCCATTTGGCACTTAAAGCTCTTTATAACCTGGCTCCTTCCTATCTGGTTAGCCTTCTTACACTTTACTTTTCTCTGTGTTGTCTATGATTCAGGTACAGTGGCCTACCTGCAGTTCCTTGAGCATGATAATCCACTTCCCATCTCCATGTCTTTGTACTGGCTGATCCGACAATACCTCAAAGGCTCTCTTTCCACTTTGCCTCTTAGTTTCTACTGACTTTCTTCAAGACCCAGCTCAAATTCTACCTTGTGTAGAAGCCTTTCCAGGCCCCCCTTATTGCTGGTCCCTTCTTTCTGAGATTACTTTCCATTTATACTGTAAATAACGTGTGTGTGTATGTATGCACAAGATATATTTTGTATATGCGTCTTGCCTCTTGGCTTCAGTTTTCTCATCTGTTAAATGGGATGCCTACTTCAGTTCTTCAAGAATCTGTGACTTTGTGAGTGTAGGGAGCAGGGACAAGAGCACCTTCTACCAAGGAAGGAAGGTCATAGGCTCCACGCCTTTGTTTCAGAGGACCCTTGTGGCTGTTACTCCTCCCTTTGGTGATGAGCTCCTCTTAACACTTGGCTAGGCTGGCTCTTGGACAACAGACACCCAGTCCATTACCCACCAGAGCTTCCAATCTACTGTTAACAGGCTGCCTTTCATAGAATGAGGGTACTAGCCTAGTGCTGCAAGCATAGGATGTGTCCATGTGGCAGCTTTGGGAGCCAGCTTCCAGAAATTCATGACAGATGTACCCTTTTCCTCCCCACTTCAGATCACTGCAGGCATCCTGTTTCCTGTCAGCTGAATGTGTGGCAACAAAAACCTTTTAATAAGATGCTGAGCCTGAACTAAGGGACATACAAAAGTCTAGAAGAAATAAGCCCTCCTTTCCCTGATATCTCTGAATAAAGAAGAAGAAAAATTACTACAGACCTCAAGGTTGGGGGAGAAGTACCAATAGTGGCATCAGCTGGTTGTTACAGCCGCCTTATCTCCCCACCTTGTCACCATGTGGCCATAAACGATGATACTTTTTTTCCTCTGAATCTGTTGTTTCAGTCTTTCCCAATCTCAGGTGAATGAGTGTCAGTGATAGCACAGACCAGATTATGGCCTTTGGTAAGAAGCTGGTAATAGCAGGATAGGCTGTAGCCCTGAGGAGTGACCTGTTTGCCTCAATCTAGCAGGGAATCAACCTAGTCAGTAGCTGAGACACTATGTCCTGCAAGCAAGAGAGTGATTCATCCATTGGCTATAACACATCTAGAATTAAACTTAGTGGTGGTGGTGGGGGGATGTTTTGTGGCAACCATTTAAACTTGAGCTCACTCTCCCTAGGGACCAAAGTGAAGGAGGACATGCTCATGGTTTGTGATGTTTTCATACCTTGATCCTTACTATACCTTCCCTGAATATATTGCATTGCAGAGACTTGGAATCAGATGATACAGGTTCAAATCCTGGCCTGACTACTTACTTCCTAGGTGACCTTGGGAAAGTGATATGATCTCTCTTAGCCTCAGTTTCTTCATCTGTAAAATAGGAGAGTTGGACTAGATGACCTCTAAGAACCTTTTAAGCCTTAGATCTATAATTCTATGAATGATTATCCCCATTTACAGATGAAGAAACTGAGGCTAAGGAACATGGGAGGAAAGAAGAGAAAAAGGGAGGTGAGAAGGGGGAGAAGCGACTCAATGAAATTAAGTGTCTTCTCCAGAGTCACATAACTAATAACGGGAAGGGATAAGGATTGGCCCAAGCCTTCACTCTCCTATTCTACCAGTCCCTCCTGACCTGCTCCGTGGGGGTATGTTGTGTGGACTTAAGTGAGCATGTTATGTCAAGTGTCAAATATAACATTCTTCTCTTTTCCTGAAGTCGATTGAGCATCAGTGAACTCAGCACCAGGGCTAGCTCCAGAAGCCCACAGCCCCCTCTTGGCACATTCAGCCTTAAACTGAGATGCCATTTCATAACGTGCTTTTTCAAAGCCAAATTCCCGTGGGTGCATTGGAGGCTATGTTGGCCTGACTTGCACACAGCTTTCTTCCATCAGAGACGATTTGAGTTGTGGGTAAGAATCTCTCTCATTAAGGAGAAGATGGCTTTTTTTCATGAGTCACATGAGCTTTCTGTCAATAGTCAAAAATAACTTCTTGCAAAATTCCACCATGCCTCTGTTCAGGCCCTTTCTAAGGTCAAGAGGCAGCACAATGTATAGAAAGAAGCCTGGCCAAATGACATGGGGTCAAATCCCTCCTGTGTAAAGCCCCTGTCTGGGCTTTAATTTCTATAACATGAGGGAGAGAGGCCCGAGAAAGCCTGGGTTCAAATCATACCTCTGAAACATACTGGCCTTCTGATGACCCGAGCAAGTCATTTCACATCTTAATACCCTAGGTAAAGGTAGCCAAGCAGGCACAAACCTACATTGGTAGAGGTAATCCCTTATACACAGGCCTGATCTAAAAAGAAAAATGAAAGCACTGCAGGAGATGATCTCTGAAGTCCCTTCCAGCGCGTACAGGTCTACGATTCTGTGTTAATATGAAGTTCCTTACCCCACGGGAAAGCCACGCTGGGTCTGAGGACCAAACAGGCAGCTGTCAACCTGAAATCAGCAGATCCAAGTCGGTCTCAGCCTGGTCACTGAGTTGCTAGCTAGCAACGAGAGATGAATATAAGCTACTTACTAACATTAATATTCTTCTTCTGAAGCCTAATTCCTTTGCTCTCCCCCCTAGCCCATACACCTCAGTTAAGTACGTTGTGTGCCGTGATGTCAAGTACTTTTTGTATAACATTGTGCAGTATAATAAAGGCCAATGGGTATAGAGAGATAGCCCAGTGTAGATAGACAGAAAGTCAGCATCCGAGTGGGGAAACTGAAGCCTAGGACTCTGAGAGGGAGGAACCCAGGAACCTGGCAGACCTGGGTCCAAGTCCTGAGTCCCTCTTCTTCTTCCCTTTTTTTTTTTTCGGAGGTAATTGGGGTTAAGTGACTTATTCAGGGTCACACATCTAGTAAGTATCTGAGGCTGGATTTGAACTCAGGTCCACCTGACTCTGGGGCCAGTGCTCTATCTACTGTGACACCTCGCTGCCCTTCCAAGTGCCTTTTCTGATACATACTATACTGACTGCATGATTCTGGGCAGGCCACTTAACCCCTCCATTCCCCAGGCAAGTTTCTAAGGTGATAATCTGCAGAAAAGTTGCCAATAGAGGAAGAGTTTACTAAGCAGGAGTCCCCCTAAACCAATGAAATCATAGATTCCAACCTCTTTCCCTTCCCCATGCCTAGAACAGAGACAGAGAAGTGTGATGGATAGGCACCTTGGACTTGGAAGACAGAAACATTGGGTTCAAATCCTGCTCCTAGAAAGTCCCTGGACCTCTATGGGCCTCAGGCATCGCCCTCCAACTTAACAATCAAGTGTCTAGTATGGACCAAGAACTGGGAGGATGCTGCGGGTATACACACAGAGTATGAAACAATTCCTACTCTCAGAGAGCTTATGTTAGAACAGGGGAGACAATGAGTTTATATGTAAGGAACTGCTCTGCTCTGTGCTGGGAGAGTTGTGATCTGCGCTGGAGGAGGGTGTGTCCCACGCTGATAAATCACCGATCCCTCACAGAGTCATCCATTGTGTATCACAGCCAGGGGTGTGCTGAAGCCAGCTTGTACATCCTTGTGAGAGCTGATTGTTAAATTTTCAGTGTGAGCACTTGAGCCTCATAAATTAGCAGAGATACAAATCAGGGCTCGATTTTCTGTTTCGTTGATTGTCTAGACTTAGGAAACTGATGGAGAAAATGCTACCATGGCAGATTACATTTACATTAAAAACGCATCCTGTATCTGGGTGGTTCACTGAGTAGAGTGCTGAGCCTGTAGTCAGGGAGACCTGCATTCAAATATGGCCTGAGACATTTACTAGCTGTGTGACCCTGAGCAAGTCACTTCACCCTGTTGGTCTTAGTTTCCTCACCTGTAAAATGAGTTGGAGAAGGAAATGGCAAAACACTCCAGTATCTTTGCCAAGAAAAGCCAAATGGGGTCAGGAAGAGTCAGATATGACTAGAAAGACTGAACAATAACATTATTGTTCTGCCCCCCCCATAGAGCCAGTTGTTAAAACATTCACCAGCACACCCTTGATCACATACACATACAAAGAATGAGACAATTCTTATTTTCAAGGGGAGATAAGAAGCTATCTGTAGTGGGGTCTTATTCCCTAACTAGAGTGTGAGCTCCATAAGGGCAGACTTTGTATCTCCCTTCTGCCCAGCACAGTGTTCTGCATATAGTCGGTGCTTAATAAAGGACTGTTGAATGAATAAATGGTGTTGTGGGAGTGACCCTGGGTTCCTGAAGGCTACCCTGTGCAAACATAAGGCTGCCAGGTGCTACAAGATGGAAAGGCTCTGTGCACATCATCAGTGACGGGCTGGTAAAAGCACCAGCCAGACAGCTGGCCCGCAGTGCTGGCCACAGGGACTCCTGAGAAGAGGTTGCTATCTATCTTGGGAGAAGAAGCATCAACACGCATGGAATCAGGGATCACAGGATCAGCTGTCTGGAGATGGAAGAGAGCTCTGAGGTCAAGCCTTCCTCTTAGAGATGGGGCCTGGGAGGCGAAGCTACCTGCTCAAGACATAGAGGCAGCAAGTGTTAGAGGCGTGACTGGAACCCAGGACTCTTGACTCTAGACTCAGCATTCTAATAGGATGCCTCACGATCTTTTTAAACCAGTTCAGATAATACCAAATATGTTTAGCCCAAGTGAAGCTCTTCTGGACGCAGAGAGCTGTATTCCCTGAGAAGAGAAAGGCACTTCTTCTCCGAGGAATCTTGCTATGGAAATGTAGGTATTGGCAGATAATGGATCACTCAGCAAAGCACAGAAGAAGAAGAGGAGAATGGGGGTGGTTGGTGACTCCCCCCCCCCCGAAAAGGCACGGAGAGGGCTGGGATGGAGCAGGGGTGGGGGTCCCAGAGGAGACAGAAAACCTGCCAAGTGTCCTCCAACCCGACGACTGACTCCCACCTAGTGCCGGTGATTCATGTGGGTGCATACGATTATCACCAGAAGGAACCTAGAAAGCATTGCAAAGGATTCTAACGTCCCGGGCAGGAAACTGAAGACTGCAGGGGCACAGATGGTACTTTTGTCACTGCGGGTGCCAATCTGAGGTGAGGGCTCTGGAGGAGGAGAAAACTGAATCTGGAAGTGAACAGCTGGCTGAGGAGATGGTGTCAGAGAATGGGATTGGGATTTCTGGGTCATAGCCTAAGATATAGACGTGACAGGCTCCTGGCTGGAGACGGAGCGTCACTAACAAGGGCTACTAACAAGGTATTAGATTGTTGATGGACTGGCTGGTTTACTGAGAGGTCTGTGGAGAATGACTCATGTAAAAACAAAAAAAAACTTGTTTAAAAAACCATATAATGCCCAATTAACCTCATTTTAAAAAAAAACCCAGTTACTGGACTGGCAGATAAGGAGATTTCCATAGAAAGAGTTTAACCTAGATTTAAAAAACTATTTTAAAATTTGTTTTGTTAAATATTTTCCAATTACATTTAAAATTTTTAACATAAATTTAAAAAAAATTTGAGTTCCAAATTCTCTCCCACTCTCCTGCCCCTCCCCTACCCCTTGAGAAGGCAAGCAATATGATATCAACTATATGTGGAAAGTCATGCAAAATATATGTCCACATTAGCTATTTTCTCATTGTTCTTGCGGAAAAGATGGCAGGGTGTGGGCTAGACAACAATACAGTTTGATGAATTTAAGAATGATTGAATGGCCAGACTCAAAGGAGTCATTAATGGCTTGATGTAACAACAACAGCCAGCATTTCTCTAGGTTTGCAAGGTGTTTCACAAATATTATCTCATCTGATCATCACAAACACCCCAGGAGGTAGGTGCTATTATTATTTCCATTTTACAGATGAGGAAACTGAGGCTGATAGCAGTTAAGTGACTTCCCAGCATCACAGAGCTAGCAAGTGATTCCTGACACACCCATCTCTGACCTGTTCTGTTTTGTCTCCCGCCATTCCCAGGTTAAAGACCGGTCCAGTTAAATTCTGTTAACAGTCTTCCTTAAGACGGTCACATATATTCTTATATTTCTATGTTGTGTCCCCTCAGTAGATTGTAAGCTACTTGAGGACAAGAGGAGTTTTCTTTTTTGGGGTCTTTGTGCTGCTTGCCTAATGCCTGGATCCTGAAAGCTACTTAATAAATACCTGTTGTATTGAACTGAATAAAGCCAATTTGTGGTGTAATAGACTCTTAAACTCAGAACTTGTGGCCGAGAGAGTGACTTGCCCAGGACCACACAGCTAGTTAGCGTCTGACTTCCTGACTCCACGTTCAATGCTCTATCTACTGTACCGTGTGTGTGTGTGTGTGTGTGTGTGTGTGTGTGTGTACTGGGCACCTTTGCTAATCTCATGAAGCCCACGCTTCCCTTTTCAGAATAAGATTTTTAAATGCATAAAATAAAATACATAGGACTACAAAGGAAGCTAATTATATTGAAATACACTTACCAAAATATTTTAAAAACAGGTTTGTAGAGACTATATTAAGAACCACTGCTGTATGGGGGATTTACAGGAAGAGATGGGTGAGACTGGCATAGGATGAGGGCATGGATGGCAGGGGAGGGAAGGGCCACGCTGATTAAACCATAGAGCCAACCCTGTATGCACGCAAGTGTGATATCCAGGACAGAACACAGTACATGCCAAACGTGGTCTGACTCACTATTTGGCCATGCAAATTATGGTTCCACATCCTTGCCCACCCTTGTTCTTACCGTATTTACCGGAGCAGAGCCAGCCAGTGATGGCGATAGTTATGTGAAGCTGTTTCCCATCACTTAAGGGTAAGAATTCAAATTCTTCTATGGCTCCCACTCGCTTCTTCATCTTGTAGCCTAAAGACCAGAGGAGTATGGATTTAGGGCTGGAAAGACCTTAGAAGACACTGAGTCCAAATTTCTCATTTTACTTTTTCAATCATATTTAATTTTTTTAATCATCAAAACTTTGTCTTTTCTCTCTCCTACTCCCTCCCCCTCAATTTGGGGATGAAAGGGAAACAGGATTCCTGTTACAACGTGTATAATCAAGCAAAACACATTTCTGCACTCTTGTTGTGCAGTGGTGTTCGACTCTTCATCACTGTGTAGACCATACTGTCCATGGGGCTTTCTTGGCAAAGATACTGGACTGGTTTGCCATTTCCTTCTCCAGTGCATTAAGGCAGAGGTTAAGTGACTTGCCCAGGGTCACACAGCTAGTAAGTGTCTAAGGTCAGATTTGAATTCAGGTCTTCTGACTCCAGACCCAGCACTCCATGCACTATGGCACCACCTGGCTGCCCCATACGTACAAATACATGTCTCATTATGTACGCTTTATCTTTCATCTCTCATCAGAAGGTAGGTAGCATGCTTCATCATTAGTCATCTGGAATTGTACCAGCCCTCTCATTTTACAGATGAGGAAACTGACTCTCAGAAAAATTAAATAATTTGTCTAGGGTCACAAGCCATTTCTGAACTTAGGTTAATGACTCTTTTTATTTTTTATTTGATTGATTGGGTTTTTTTGCTAGGCAATGGGGTTAAGTGACTTGCCCAGGGTTACCCAGCTAGTGAGTGTCAACTGTCTGAGGCCGGATTTGAACTCAGGTTCTCCTGACTCCAGGGCTGGTGTTCTATCTACTGTGCCACCTAGCTGCCCTGGTCAATGACTCTTGTCCCCTGAAAGTATCTCCCTGGTGACTAGGAGGTCATTAAATATTCAATCTTGGGCTCTTGCTAATAAGTCTCTTGTCAAGTCAAATCAACTCTAATCTTCTAGGACATCTCCAGCCACATCCCTGCATGTTCTGTCCCTTCCTCCCTGGCCAGCTTCCTTTGGTGTGGTATCTTCTCTTAGGAGAATGTAAGCTTCTTGAGAGCAGGGACTGTCTTGGTTGTTTGAATTTGTATTCCCAGCACTTAGCACGGTGGTTGGTATACAATAAGGGCTTAATGAATGTTTCTTCTATAATTCTAACAATAAAAAAGCTGGACACAGCTCTGACTGCATGGGAGACACCTTGAAATTCATTTTTTAGGCAGCTAGGGGAAGGTCCATGTATATCCCATTAATCCTACAACTTGATAAAACAAACAAACAAAAACATCCCTGCCCTCAAGAGGCTTACATTCTTCTTAGGGGTTGGGAAGAGGAATACAATGTATACATGAATAAACCATGATACAAAGACATTCTGAGGATAGAGTGCTAATAACTGGGTGGTAAGGTAAGAGGTTGGGAGAGTGGGGGGTGGCAAAGTAATCCAGAAGGGCTTCATGTAGGAGATGGTGCCAGACCTGTGCTTGAAAGGAAGTCCAGGGGATGGATAAGGAGGTTTTACAGCTGTGAACCTAACACTCCCTTTGGACAATAAGAATGAAGCTCTTTTTTTTTTTTTTGCTAGGCAATGGAGTTAAGTGATTTGCCCAGGATTACACAGTTAGTAAGTGTTAAATGTGTGAGGCTGGATTTGAACTCAGGTCCTCCTGACTCCAAAGCCAGAGCTCTATCCCCTGTGCCACCTAGCTGCCCCAAGAATGGAGCTCTTTACAGGTCACCATGGCATCCTGCAGCTGGTTAAGACCTGGTTCCTGCTACTCTGACCTGTACACTCTTTCTGCTAAGGCCTTTCCTGACTTCTTATCTACCACATGGTGGAGGATGAGAGAAAGGTAAGGGAATAAGCATTTATATGCCACCTACTACATACAGACAGTGTGCTAAGCACTTCACAGATATTATACCATCTGATCCTCAAATGACCCTTGGAGGAACGAATCATTATTCTACTCACTTACAGCTGAGGAAACTGAGGCAGACATAAGTTTAGTTACTTGCCCAGAGTCCTACAGCTAGTAAGTATCTGAGGTGGGATTTGAACTCAGGTCTTTCAAACTCTAGGCTCGGCATTCTATCCACCACACTGCCTAGCCGCCTAACTGTGGTTAATGAACAATATTAATGAGACCATATGTATGCCAAAGGTGACACCAGACAGCTGTGCCTGGAAAGCAGTGGCACCATGTGGCTACGTAACCCTCCACGCCAAGAAGTCAGTGTCAACGTCTTTCTTGGGTGCCGGTGACTGGGCATCTTTGGCCAGGATGCAGGTGGCCCAGCCACGGAGTCCTTGTGATGGTGCCCACAGGGAACTGAGCGCATACAGAACAGAACGGGAGGTCAGCAGTAGCTTTCAGAGGGAGGGGGGTGTGTTTGGGGTTGAGTCCTCGGCTAGGCTCTGGAATGGGAACGAGAGTGAGGGCGCGTCTGAGTATAGCATCCAGGCGTGTGTTGGAGTCAGCTGCCAGGATGGACAGCCGATTGTTAAATTTTCAATGTGAGCATTTACACCTCAGAAAAAATTAGGGCTCGATTTTATCATTTTTTTGATTGCCTAGACTTAAGAAAATGATGGAGAAAATGGCAATAATTCAGAATAAACTTATAAGTGTGTCCTGAGTCCTTTTTTTTCCCTAGAGAGATGGTTGTTAAACATCTACCAGTGTACCCCTGCTTGGGACTCCCTAAAGTTTGATATTTGAGTCTGGATCTGTAGAGGATGTGAGGATCATGGCAGGCCCCAGAGACAGGCATGCAGTTAGCCAGAGAGAACCAGTATAAGTCTCTGGTTCCCAGGGTTTGCCTGCCTCCTGCCTTCCAACAGTGACACTCCATTTAAGCAATAGGGACAAATGGCCATAAGTCATATTTCGTCTTGGAATGCTGCACTGTCATACTCTCATAGTCTGAAAGCTGGAAGGGAACTCAAAGGTCATCTGGTGCAACTCACTCATTTTAAAAGTGAGGAAACTGAGCCCCGGAGAGATTAAGTGATTTGTCCAGGGTTATGCTGGTAGTAAATGGCAGAGATGGGCTTTGAACCCTGGCCTCTTGACTCAAAATCAGCATTCCTTCCACTATACCATGTAAATTTATCTGAACTGGCATCTGATGACAAGAGACCTTGTGATTGGGGTGTGGGCTTGAAAGCAGTGAGCCTGTGTGATTCATTTCAGAATGACCAGCATTTTAAACAATTAACAACAATAAAAAACCCCAACAGAATGGCCTGATGCCTTCCTGTGGCCTAGAGAGAAACTTTATAGTTGCCAACAGCTGGCCCTGAAGGAATGTAGCTTCCTGCCCACATGGCCGTCTGCCCTTCCTTGCAGTTTTCCTTGGTATAGCTTGAGAAGAGGGCCACAATGTAGCTATAGAACATGCTAGAGGTATTGTGGGATAGAATTATAGTCATCCTCTTCTAAGGTTTGCAAAGCAATTTGTAAATATCTCAATTCTTACAACTTTGGGAGGTAGGTGCTATTCTTAACCCCATTTTACAGATGATGAAATTGAGGCTGACAGAGGTTAAGTGACTTGCCCAGGGTCATGCAGCTAGCAAGTGTCTGAGGCTGGATTTGAACTCAGGTCTTCCTGACTATAGGCCCAGTCCTCCATCCTCTGCACCACCTACTTATTTTTTTCATTAGCATCTCTAAAACCTTGGGGGCAAGTCACCTCCTCTCTCGGAAGCTCAGTTTCCTCATCTACAAAATGGGGATGCTGACCTTTTCTACTCTGTCCTTAATGTACTTAGTGGGGCTGTATGCTCTGATCATAAATCATTACAGAAAGACCAGCTGTAGTTAGGATGTGAGATCCGTTTTCCAACCCTACCTGTCAGACCAGCTCCTGCAGCTCCAAAGAGGGAGGTTATGACCGCAATGCCTGCCACTGAGCCCAAAGCAGCTGCGCCCGTGGTGCCAATGATGGCGGCTGCTCCGGCGGCCATGAAGGGGGCGGCCAGACCACCTGTCACCCCTGCAAGGAAAACGGGAAAGGATTCACTGTGGAGCCGCCATCCACCTTCCCAGTAACCTTCCACACCAGAGTTCCATCCCAGGCCACAACCTCCCTTTATGGATTGTTAGTGCCCTGAAGTCAGGGACTGGCTGATTTTGCATATGATAATAATAATATTAATAATAATCATGATGATGATGATGATAGCATTATATAGCAGTTACTATGTACCAGATGCCGTAGCAAGTGTTTTACAAATATGATCTTGTTTGATCCTCACAACAACCCTGAGAGGTAGGGGCTATTATTACCCCCATTTTACAGATGAGGAAAGTGAGGCAAACAGAGGTTAAATGACTTGCTCGGTGTCTAGTAAGTGTCTGAGGCTAGATGTGAACTCAGGTCTTTCAAAATCCATGCTCAGCACTGAGCCATGTAGTTTTCCCCAGCCTTAGACTTAGCACACACTAAATGCTAAATAAATGCTTTTTCATTCAGTCATTCGAAAGTAGGAAACTGATAAAGAGGCTATTATAATGACCTGATTGAGAACTATGAGGATCTGAACCAGGATAACTGTAGAGAAAGTAGAAAAGAGGGTCAGGACAAAACATTAGTCCACTGGGCATTCTTATTGCTATGAGGTCTGTATCCCAAAGAGATCAAAGAAAGAAGAAAATGGCCTATATGTATAAAAATATTGATAGCAGCTCTTTTGTGGTGGCAAAGAATTGGAAGCTGAGGAATGGCTGAACAAGCTGTGGCATAAGGATGTGGTAGAATACTATTGTGCTGAAAGAAATGATGATGGGAGAGGCTGCCAAAAAACCTGGGAAGACCCATCTGAACTGATGCAAAGTGAAGTGAGCAGAACCAAGAGAACAATTTATACAATAACAACAATACTGATATAAAACAACAAAAATATATAAAAACAACAAAAGACAAACAACTTTGAAAGACTTAGGACTTCTGATCAATGCAATAACCAATCATAATTCTAGAAGAGCCAGGATGAAACCTGCTATCCACCTCCTGAGAGAGAGGTAATGGACTAGAGGTTTGAGGTGGGTGAGGAGGGAGATTGTGTGTGTGTGTGTGTGTGTGTATGTACACACACAAGTATATATGTGTATGCCTACACATGCACATACATACCTGTGTATACGTATACAGAGAGAGGCAGACAGACAATTTGGGAATTTGTTTTGCTTAACTATGCATATTTATTACAAAGGTTTTCTTTTCCTTTCTTTTGTTTTCAATTGGAGGGTTAGAGGAAGAGAAAATAAATACTTGTTAATTGGAAAATAAAATAAAATTTAAAATGCAAAATGAAAACAAAAAGTTTTTTTTTTCTTAAAGGGGAAGAATGTGAGTTAGAAAGACTCAGCCCTGGCACCCACTTGGCTGGGAGTAGGGGGTGGGGTTTGAGGCCAAGGGGCCCAAGCAGAGGTGGCCCTTAGGTTTGAGCCTGGGGGAGTGAGAGGAAAGTCCTCTGGTCGCTGGGGTTCTAGGTCACAAGGCCAGCCAAATTTCAACCCGCCCTTTCACTTCAGACTCCTTCTTGGCAGCTCTGATTAGATTAGGGAGTTTCTGAACCATGCCCCAAAGCCATGACTAGTCCTTACCTATTGCTGTCCCGCCTCCAACAGTGGCCAGGCCAATTAGGAGATAACGCTTCCATTTCTTCCGATTTTCTCTCTTTTTTCTTAAAGCTTCAGCAGATCTGGGGGTAGGGAAGGGGAGAGGAGGAGGAAGGAAGATCTGTGAGGGCAGCCCTCATGCTTCATGACTCCCAGATTTACCCACAATGCCGGGCCAATCACAGGGGTTCTATCATGCAGGGCTTAATGACAAGAAACACCATGGATCATCATTGATTTTGAAGGGCTGAGAAGCTGAACGGGACACAACGTTCAGTATGTGCTTATACTCACCCTATCGATCCATCCTAACCGGACTGCAGTTTGAATAATGAAAAAAAGCACAAAAGGTTTTTTAAAAATAGGGGTACTGGGGACATCAGTGAAATATACTCTGCGATCATCTCTGTGTGCTCTGGCTACCCCTTCTCCCCTTGCCCCCCACCCAGGGTATTGCAAGCCAAGGTCTATCTGAAGATGGGGTGAAAAGGGCGCTCAAAATGCCTGCCTTTGGGCCAGAATCTTTCAGACCTGAAAGGCAAATTCTGAAAAATTGGGAAAGAGAGCCTGGCAAAACCACAGAAGGAGGTGAGATACACACACACCCACACACACACACCCACACCCACACACACCCACTACGTGTGTGTACACACATATATACATATCTACACACGTACATATGCACACATGTATATAATGTATACATATATGGAACATAGAATGTCAGAGCTGGGTGACCCTTTCTGAGACTCAGTTTCCCCATCTATCATGAGGACATGATAATATGCACTATCTACTTCACAGTGACTTGACAGGGGCAAACAAGTAACATCATGTAAAGCAGTTAGGTGGCAGGTTTACATCAAGTCGAACACTCCTATTTTTGCATGAAGCCAGTTTCAAAAGTCCTAGAGCAAGGAAAAATATATCTCTAACACTGGGTCACTAGATGGTACAGTGGATAGTACTGAGCTTGGAAGCAGAAGCCTGGGGTTCAAATCCTGCTTCAGATACTTCCTAGTTGTGTGACACCATCTCCTCCATCCCCTCAGCTAAGTCACTTAACCTCACTTTGCCCATCTATAAAGTAGAGATAATAATAGCACCTGCCCCCTAGGGCTGTTTCAAGGATCAGACTGATAACATACATGAAGTGCTTTGCAAAGCTTAAAGTATTAAGAGATGCTAACTACAATTATTATTATTTTAACACTATCAGTCTGTATAACATTTTATGGCTTACAAAGCACTTTCTTCATGAACATCCTGGGAAGTAGGTAGTATAGGTGTTATCATCCCCATTTTACAGATGGGGAACAGGCCCAAAGAAAGTCACAAGGCTAATAAATGCCAGGCTCAGGATACAAATCAGTCTCCCTACAAATATCTCACTGTTGGTTGCCCAATCACGAAATTAAAAGCTCTCTCCTCCCTTTCCCCTTTGCCACACCTGTGTGGTATGGGGAGTCCAAAGCACACGGCTCTATGCCCAGATGCAGAGATGACCCCAAAACCTTCCCCTGCCCCAGCTCTCCAGAACAGACTGATCTAAAGAAACTTAGAGGAAAAGACATGGGGCCCGAGGGAAGAGGCTGTACACCCTGCTTTCTGCGCTAGTCTTCCAGGGTGATTATTTAAATTGCACTGACTAGATACACTGGAAGTCTGGCTCCCAATACAGCCTTGGCTCTGATTAAGTCAGGACCTGCATTCGCTCCCCACAATCCTCCTCTATCTACAGAGAGACACAAGGGAGCCTTGAGACAGGCAAATGATATGTCACTCAATCTGTGGTAGTAGTGGTGGCAGTGGGAGTAGTGGCTGTAGTAGCAGTAATAGTGGTGGTGGTAGTAGTAGTGGTGGTAGTAGTAATAGTAGTAGTGGTTGTGGTAGTAGTAGTAATAGTAATGGTGGTAGTAGTGGTAGTAGTAGTAATAGTAGGGGTGGTGATACTGGTAGTAGTAGTGGTAGTAGTGGTTGTGGGGGTAGTAGTAGTAGTAGTAGTAATAGTAGTCGTGGTAGTAATAGTAGTGGCAGTAGTGGTAGTAGTAGTGGTAATGGTAGTAGTAGTAATACCAGGCACCTTAAAATTTACAAACATCTTCACACAGGAACATAATAGGACCACGGTTCTAGACTGGAAGAGGCCTCAGCAGTCATCTAGTGCAGCCCCTTTGTTTTACAGATAGGTAAATTAAGGGAAGTGACTTGCCCAAGGTCAGTCAATCCATCAATCAACAGGTATTTCATAAGCCCCAGCAATGTGCCAGGCATTGTTCTAGGCACTCGGGATACAGAGTACAAAAAATGAAGCAACCTCTTTTTGCTAGGAGTTTCCATTCTAATGGGGGAGACAAGGCCATATTCAGTTCCCATTCAGCATAAATGTAAAGAGACAAATACAAAGTAGTTGAATACAGGGTCGTTTCAGAGGGAGGGCACCGGGAAAGGCTTCTTGTAGAAGATGGGGCTGTAGCTTCCTCTTAAAGGAAGAGAGGGCCTAGATGAGGTGGAGGTGAGGAGGAGGGAGTCCCACATCTCCATCATCTCCTTTATCTTCACAACAATCCCCTTTTTTCTGCTTTGTATTCCCAGTACCTGGCACATACTCAATGCTTAATGTGTGTGGATAGCATTAAATTTGTACATGTTAAGTTTCTTTGTTATTAATATTAATAAATTACTTATAATACTTAAGATTATTTATTAATATTAATATCAAAATGTCAATATTTATTATTAATTGTAGGACCATGGGCAAGTTCCTTTCCTCTCCTGAGCCTCAGTTTCCTCCTTGGTAAAAGGACTGGTTTGGACTAAATGATCCCTCTGATTACTTAGAGTCCCTGCCTCATTGAGGCAGGGATGGAGGGTGGGAACCTTGGTTCTAATCCCAGCTCTACGGCTGGATGAATTAAGAGGCAAGCCTTGGGGAAAAGGCTTGAAAATCAGCCAATGTACCCTCAGAGGGGGTTGGTCTTAGGGAAGAAAAGGCTGGGAGAAACCTCGTTGTGTGACTGTATTACACTCAACTGGTGGAGGACTGTCTTCTAAGAGAAAAGGCAGAAATGAGCTAAACTTGGGAAAACAAACAAAAAACCAAAAAACGACCCAGAGGCAGGGAGCTACAACAGAGTGAAACTTCTTCATCTGTATGAGAATAATAGTAGCAGCAATGACAATGAGATGGTGATAATTCTGGGCTCCTTTCTAGCTCCAAATTCTGTCATCCTGATTGGACAGGCAATGTGACATAAGGGACAGAGCGCTAGACCTGGAGTCAGTAAGACCTGGATTCAAATCCCGCCTCCAACACTTAATTAGCTGTGTGACCACTGGCCAATCATTTCATCTCTCTGAGTCTTGGTTTTGTCATCTGTTAAATGGGCGACATGATGCCTGTAGTGCAGACTTAGTTCAAGGGCTGTCGTGAAACTCAAATAACATCTTTACAATCTTTAAAGCTCCATATGAATGCTAGTAAATGCTAATGAAAGCTCGATATGCATGCTATGATAGCTATCACTTTTTAAATTTATTTTTTCAGCTTAAAAAAAAATTTTCTTCCTTCTCATTTCCCTCCTGCCCCTATTAGAAAAAAAGAAAAAGAAAACCCTTGTAACACATATATACAGGTAAACAAAACAAATCCTTGCATAGGACACATCCAAACATATTATCACTCCAGTGATGACCCCCCAGAACCAGCCAGAAAACATTTACAGTGCTGTGTGAGCCCAGACAAGGCACACAACCTCTCTGTGCCCTGGAGGACTCTCTGAGATCCTAAGTTGCAGTGGTGGAGGAAGCTTCCTCCTCTGGGAGATTCCTTTATAAATGGAATCACAAGTTCAGTCCCATCCCATCCCTCTATGTCCTAACAAGGCAGGGACAACTATGATCTATTTTTTAAAATGATTTTCAGCTAAAATGGTGAAATTAAATAAGAAAAAAGTTCATTAAAAAGGTTAGTTGCAGTTAATTAGAAAATCTCCTTGTGGGAACATCACTTGGTCCTCACAGTCCTCCTGGGAGGAAGGTATTAAAGGGGCCATGGTACCCATTTTACAGATGAGAAAGTTGGGGCTCATTCCCTGAGAATGGATTTTCCTGCAAAGTTACAAATGCCATCTTACTCAGACTCTTCTTCCTGTTTTTCCTTCAGGCTTTCCAGTAACGACTCTTCCAGATTCTCCAGCTCCTCTGGGGCTATCTTCAGCAGCCACGTGACATGGCACACAAGTACCCTGGCCCGAGCATCATAGGAGCCTTCGGGTGGAACAAAAACATGGGTAATTAAGAAGGTGCTTTTACTGGGTTACCGTCAAGAATCAAAATAGCTCCTAGTTCTAGAGCACTTCAAGGGATAAGGTATAAAACTTCTTCCTCACCATGACCCTGCAAGGTAGAGAGGGTGGGGGATTTGTCATCCCCGTCTTACAGATGGGAACACTGAGGCCCAAATAGGTGAGGAGACTCACCTAGGATCACACTAGAAAAGACCAAAGCCAGGAATCAAACCCAGGGCCTCTGATTCCCAGTCCCGTGGTCCTTCTACTGTGCTACACGCTAGCAGACTATGAATATTAATAATGACCCAAATTTCCATGGTGCCTTTTAAGATTTACAAGGTGTTTCCCTTCTGGAAATAAGCCCTCTAAGGTTATCTTGTACCCCCTCTGCATGGACCTATCCAGGCAGCAAGGAAAGTCTGTGGATGGTGCTAGATCGAGAGTCGGGAAGACCCAAATTCAAATCCTGCCTTTAGATATTTCCTAGCTGTGATCTAGGGCAAGTCATTTAACTGATGCCTGCCTCAGTTTTTTCATCTGTAGAAGGGGATACCAATAGAACTTACCTCCCACGGTTGTTGTGAGCTCGTTAAATGAGTGCATAAAACACTTTGCAAACCTTAAAGTGTTATATGCCAAGATGGCTACCATAAACCTTTCTGTAATATCCATTTACATGGGTATCCCCCATTAGAAAGTAAACTCCTATAGGGTAGGAGCTTTTAGCTTTTCCTTCATCTCTCCAGAGATTAATGTTGTGTTGGACATGTAAACAATGTTAAGGTAGGTATTTGTTGATTAATGAGCTGATAAATATTATCAGGGGTGGCTAGGTGGCACCATAGGGCAGAGATTGCCAGACCTAGAGTCGGGAGATCCTGAGCTCAAATCTGTCCTCAGACATTTACTAGCTGTGTGACCTTGGGAACGTCACTTCACCCTGTTTGACTCAGTTTCCTCATCTATAAAATGAGCTGCAGAAGGAAATGGCACACCACTCCGGGATCTCTGCCAAGAAAACCCCAAATGGGGTCACAAAGAGTCAGACACAACTGAAATGAGTCAACAAGGACAACAAATATTATCATCACCATTTCACAGGGGAGAAAACAGGCTCACCGAAAGATCACAGCATTGCAGACCTCGAGCTGGAAGTGTCCTCAGAGTCCAGTCTCTGCCCTTTACAGATGAGGAAACTGAGGCCTGAGGAGGGTATGTGATTTGCCCAGAGCTGCCTGGGTAGTAGGCATCGAAGGTGAGATTTGAACCCAGTTCCTCTGATTACAGAGTCAGGTGATTTTTCCACTGACTAGTCCAAGGTCACAATGCTAGATCGCCTAACTTCAAGTGCAGATCCCCTGACACTGCACAAGAAGCCCCTCATCCCCACACATCCTGTCTGGCTGGTGATTGGCAGGGCCACGCTCTTTGAGAACAGGAACTGTTTTTTTCCCCCTTTCTTTGTATTCCCATCACCAAACACACAGCCTGATATGTAGTAGGTGCTTAATAAGTGCTAGTGGACTGACTGACTGGGGCCTCAGAGATGGGGGTCTGTGCCACCTGGCTATGGCATGACAGCCTAGCTCTGTGGGTGGATAGGATAAAGAATAAGGGGTAACTCAGGGAAGACGTTGGCCAAGGCACATCTGAATGGCAGGCCATGGGAGAGGAAGAGCTGGGGTAGCTGGGAGGGTCCAAAGAAACCTTAACTCCAAGAGAACAGGCACCTTAAGGAACTGGGCAGAGGGCCCATGATCTATGCTCAATCCCACCGGAAGTTACGTTACTAGTTACTATTTCTTGCTCAAAGAACCCACATTTTTATAGGACCTAGAGATACACAAGATGCTTTCCTCACCCGGCTGGGCAGTACAAATATTCTTATCCCCATTTATAGGGGGAGACTGTGAGCCATAGCTCTCTGGTTCAATAAGAGGAGAAATGGAGTTGTCCATCCCGAAGCTGGATGAAGAAGGTCAGCAAGGGTTCCTGTCTCCTCTCCAACAGCCCTGCCTGGATAAGTGAGGGCCAGGAGGAAAGCCTGAGTAAGACAAAGAGGGGCAGGAAAGGAAGAAGACCCCCGAAGAGGCTGGGAGACTTGGGCCTACTCCCTGCCTGGCTTTGCTCCCTCACCCAGGCACACCCTTCTCATGCCTCCCCAGACCTGTATTAACCAGACCGTAACCAGCCGAGAGGCTACGTGCTGAGGGTCAGACCCCTCTTCCCTGCCGGTTACCAGGTCAGCCACGGCGGCTCCTTTTGAGTCAACAGCTGGTATCAGAAGCAGGAGATAATCAGCACTAACGAGATTGAAACAACCTTCGGCAGCTGTCATTAGTTGATGAGAATTATTAATAGCCATTCATACAGGTGTCATTGATCAAGGTTATGGTGACTAAGCTGGATGGAATATCGGCCAAGATGCACACCATCGATTAAGATTTTCCAAGAGCCTCTGAAGTGCAAGACACTGGGATGTCAGCCCCACAGGTAACGCTTCAAATGCTCCAGCATTGGGGTAGGCTGAATCGGGAAGCAATGGTCATAATAACAACAATAATATCGAACATTTATACAGCATGCTAAGGTTATCTCATTAGATCCTCACAAAAACCCTGGGAGTGCTATGATTATCCCCAATTTACTCATGAGGCAGACAGAGGTTGAGTGACTTCATCAGAATCACACAGCTAGTACGTGAGACTAGACTGGAGCTCGGGTCTTCCTGCACCACCTGACAAGGTGCTTCTCATACTGCCAATACTAAGAGGGAGGGGAGAGCTAAGAGCATTTAGGACTTAGGGAAAGCACAAAAAATCAGGACTTTAAGGTAGACAGCGGACATTTTAAGGGATCAGGGGCGTTTCACGTCACAAGGAGCTTTGAGGCTTATAAACTGGCAGCTGGAGACAACCTAGGAGGACAGTGGGTGCCTATTGCCTTAGTCTGATCAATCAACATTTATAAGGTGCCTGCTGTGTGTCAGGCACTGTGTACAGCTAGAGTGTTGTATCGAGCTCTGGGCACCAACTACAGTTTAGGAAGGTCACAGATAGGCTGTGGAATGTTCCTAGGAGGAGTTTCTGTGCTAGGATAAACATTCCTAGTTTCTTCAATCCGTCAGAGTCACAGACTAAAGGCTGGAACGAGTTTGGAGGCCACCTATCCAATCCCTTCTTTTGAAGATGAGGAAACTGAGGCCCAGAGAGATCCAGTGACCAGCCCGAGGTCTCAAGTTCAAGCCACATGAGGATCTGGATTCAGAGGGCCTGGGTTCCAATCCCCACTTGCCACCTGTGTGACCTTAGGCAAGTTATGTGACCTCCATTTTCTCAACTGTAAAATGGACTAGATAGACCCTGAGGAAACTTTCAGCTCTGGATCAAGAACTGAGAAGGGTTAGCATAGAAAAGAGAACTCTCACCTGGGGACTGTTTCATGGCTGTTTTTGTATTCCTTTCACTGAGCTCAGCACCTGGCCCAGAGAAGGTGCTTAATAAATGTTTACTAATTGATACGTTGGCTGACATGTTGGCTTGTATTCAAGTAAAGAGCATTACATATGGAAGAAGAAATATGGCTGTTGGGATGGTCTACAGGGGATTCTGGTTGGGTAGGAGTAGGAGCAGGGGTGGGGAACCTTTGGCCTCGAGGCCATATGTGGCCTTCTAGGTCCTTGGGGGTGGCCTTCTGACTCCAAATTTTACAGGGATTTGTTCTGTGAAGTTTGGATTCAGTCGCAGGGCTGCACTTGAGGACCTAGAGGGCTACATGTGGTCTTCTAGATCCTTGGGGGCCTTGAGTCCAAGTTTTACAGAACAAATCCTTTTATTAAGGGGATTTGTTCTGTGAAGTTTGGATTCATTTACAGGGCTGCACTTGAGGACCTAGAGGGCCTAATTGGCCTATCATCTCTCCCCACTCTGAAATGCTAATTCTAAAGATCCTAGAGGTAACTGAGATTAATCTGTTAACCTGGAGTCTGCAAACTTGTTTTTAAAATATTTTGAAAATTTTCATTAATTTTATTTATTTAGTTTAATTTTATCAATATTTTAAGAATATTTTGAGAACTGTATTTCAATAGAATTGGTTTCCATTCTAATCCTATGGGTTTTATTTTAAATGTTTAACTTATTCCAAGAAGGGGTCACAGAATTGTCACAGGGATCCAGGACACAAAAAGGGTTAAGGGCTGCTACAGGAAAGCTTCTTGGAATTCCAACCAAGCCAGAGTCCACCTGGAGATCTAGGTTAAATGAGCCTATGCAATTAAAGGCTTAGAGAGGCATTGTGATGGGGCGGGAAGAGCATGAGCCCAGATAGGACTTCAGCTCCCTTATCTGTTAAATGGGGATAATAATGTTAGTACCGCCTAACTTTATAAACTGGCCCCAGAAATAGAAGCAGTTATTAAGTCAGAGCTGGGTTACCAAGGGCATCTGAAAAGAGCAAACGCTTACAGACAAGGGATGACACAAGCTTCTCCAACTCTCCTGTCAGAACTCTGGCCTCCCTTGTGGCTGCTAAGCACGAACTCCAGGTCACAGTACAGGCCACAGGGCCCTCTTCTTTTGTTACCGTGATTTTATTTTTCATGTATTTATTTATTTTTCAATCAAAGTCTGCTCTCTCTTCTTCCTTCCTGCTCTCCTCTAACCCCACTGAGAACACTACAACATCGTTGAGCAAAACAACATTGCATTGGCCTGTTAAAAATTCCTGAATTGGCCATGCTAAAAAAAATAAAAAGTCTCAGTCAGCCCCTTGAATCCTTCAGGAGGCAGGTGACATCAATATGAGACCTCCAGAATTACAGCTGGTTATTGTGTTGATCAGAATTCTTAAGTCTTCCAAAGTTATTTGCCTTAAAAATACTGTTGTTATTGTATAAATTGTTCTGTTCACTTCACTCTTCAACAGTTCATACAGGTCTCTCCAGGTTTCTCTCCTTCCTCATTCCTTACAGCACAA